ACGTGGGCCTAGAAAACTTGGCTTCCCAGTTCTCCGACACGGCAATGGATGCTTGTAGGACTGCTGTCGGGATGACGCTATTTGTCCAGATCCCCGGAGGAACCCTACGCAGAAGCATGCAGTCTTTGAGTGGGGCACCGAACAAGTCCTTGCATTGGATATGCGTATTAAACTGTACAAGCCCCTTCCCGACCAGCAGTTGGTCCTGTATTCGGATGCTTGTAAGACTGCTGTCGGGATGACGTTATTTGTCCATATCCCCGGAGGAATCCTACGCTTTGTTGTGGAAGAAGTTACCGATGCGTATCTGGTCGACCGAGCGTTGGAGGCGGCGAAGCTCCAAGCAATAGCCGAGCCAGACGTAGGCCTAGAGAACTTGGCTACCTAGTTCTCAGGCACGGCAATAGTGCCTGTTGATGCGGACCACGAAGGTTCTGGACTGCCAGCACCCCGTTACCAGATCGTGCCGGATGACTACCTTGCCTCCTATACATCCTCTACGGCTGCTAGTATTCAGGAAGTAGTGGTGATCCGATGCAAGGAGCGGTCGTCTTACGCCAGGTCCTGGACGTTGGCATCACGATCATGGACCACGCCAATATGTTCCCAGTGGTCCTGGCCTCCAGCACCCTGAACCCAGCACAACGAAACTACAGTGCCACGGGTCACGAGATGACGGGCTGTAAGTTTTCAGTCAAGAAGTGCCTCCACATCTTGCAGCGGGTCCAGCTACCGGTGGTACTCTACACCGATCACAAACCCATACTCGACATTATGGCGAACCCATCCAAGTATACACAGGACGACACTTCGGAGAGTAGACGGTTTCTCCGGTCCATCCAGGTCGTGCATGAAGTGGAAATCGACCACCGCTACATACCTGGCCCCCTCAACACCTTTGGGGACTATATGTCCCGGTGCTGTGGCCACCTGGATCTCCTTATGCTCCCCACGGAACGCAGGGTCTATTTCCCGGAGAATCTCTACCTGTCGGCCCCAACGCTAGTTGCTGCCCCTGTGCTCGCACCGGACCGTTTAAGCTGGCAACTCCACTGGCGATGGTTCAACCAGTCTTTGATCTTTGCGGGTAAGTACGACATCGAGTTATTCGCGGACAGCGAGAATCCTATCATGGATGTCCACTGTAGCAATGAGCCTAATGGCGTGACCTATGGTTGCAATTTCTTTGACGTCGATCTCAATGGGAAACATTGTTCTGGCAATTCCCCGTGGGAGATCCTCGACGATGTCCTGCACCACATTACCCCTTTCAGCAATGCTTTAGTGGTCCTCTGCATCCCTTTCTGACCCCACGCCAAATGGATGTCGGCGGTCTTCAGTATGTTGCACTCGCGCCCAATAGTCATCCAAAATACATCGGACACGTTCCTTCTCAGGGGACGCGTTGCAATGAACCCACCCCCATGGAAATACAGCCTCCTAGTCTACTTACGTAGTAACCAATGGTTTCTTTATCTGATCTCACGCTCCTTTTGGCGTACGGTTGGCCGGACCTATGCTCCCCCATCCCTCCGCCACTTGGGCCACGAGTATCACACTGCCTCATGTTTTGCGGCGATCTCGTATTCGTGTGAGCAGGAACAACCCACTCCGGATCTTCCGGCGGTTGACCTCTTGGCTCCGGACGGTACCACCGACGTAACACCCACCCCGTGCCCCCTAGTAGAACTGATGGATACCCCGATGAGATCTCCCTGATATAATGAGCCCCGAATCCCCTGACTGGGCACCGGCTGACCCTGAACTAACCACCTCACTCATTGTGGAGTTACCGGTTACCGACATTGCAATGCCGCATGATTGGACCATTGTTCCGGAAGGGTGCTTGGAAGTTCCCAGGGCCCAACCGCTGCCTGGATTAGGAGAATCTCCACTTCTCCTAACACTGGAAGCCCAGCAGGAAGGCCAGATAACTTCTGGCGAGAAAGAACCCTTTTCCCTGACTACGCCTGACCCCCAGGAGGACATTGATTTGTTGGCGTTCCATGGAAACAAATTGTACAGCCCTCCGGAGTCTTTCGTCCCACTCGACCTCACAGGTAAAGAGTACGCACCATCGAGTGAACCCGTCCACGAGGACGATCCAGAAGGCATCTTCCCTTTAACTCTGGGACAGATACCCTACTTAGCCGAGCTATTGGATTTTGAAGCGGACCTGCTCAATGGGGCCGCAGACCTTCCAACATATTCCCTTTTCTATGAATTCCAGGAGGTACCCCTTGGCACTGGGGACTTGGTGTATGCTGCAGGTCTCGAAGACGAGCCTTTGGTGATCTTCCCGTATGTGGACACGCTTCCAGCAGGGGATGTAACTCTGACTCCCCAACCGGTGGACTATACGGTCTCCCATCACTCTTCCACGGATGCACTATTGATTAATCGTCGTCGCACCGCGAAGCACACTTTTAGTGTGCTTTCATTTTCACTTTTTGGACATATGCTGCTGCCGTTCGATTTCAATACGGCATGAACTGTGCCTATACGAAGTGGGTCCGGCTCTGCGCGGCACACAACCACCCCCGTTCGAGCGAATTCACGGATGCCGACGAGGTCTTCTTTGAGGATCATGCCCACTTCGTGATCAATGCCGCCGGTACGCTCACCCAACTACGAAGAGCATTCTGTTTTGCTGCTTCCTCTGCGTTCCGCCAGGAATTGCTCGCCACATGGAAACTCAAGCATGACTCGTTTCAGCTAACTGAGCTGCCAGCCCCACCCCAGGCTGACCCAGTCTAGCCGTTAGATTGATGTGAGACGGGCACTCTCGCGATGTCGAGATGTCGACCATGGTCTACCACAGTAGTCGCCACGGCAGACCATGTGTGATCTCCGGGGACGTTTTGTCGCCGAAGTGATACCCACCCTGGTCGCAGATTGCTGGATCTGGTCCGATGGCCCACTCCTGATCTTGTTGTGGGGCGTTGTGACCACGGTCACCTTCGTTGTGACCACGGTCACTTTCGTTGTAACCACGGTCACCTTCGTTGTGCCCTCCGCCAACTGTCGGGGTCGGCTAAGGGCTAGGTCCCTTGTCGAACTGCCTCCCTACGGCCCCTTTATCTCGAATTTCTCCACCCCGCCTCCTACCTATACCCTACACCCGCACACGCCACCTTGCACATATACACTGTCATGTTAATGTTTGTTGTTTTTTAACCACCTTTTATTTGTTCTTGAGACCAAGAGTTTGATTTTCCGTCACCGCTAATTTCGGCCGTCGTGTACCCCGAAAGTGGCGCCAGTTTCCAATTTCCTGGGTCTCCCCGGGGCTGTAGTTAAAGGGTGGTTCATGGCCCTAACTCCAGAATGAGGTCCTGTCCTAATCGGCCGGCCCTTAACGTCTAAAACCAGGACACCTAGCTACCTCCTTGGACGCTTTAGTTTTTTCCACGGAAGGGGACACATGGGTCCGGACACCAGTTCCTTACGCCCCTACGCCCCTTCCCTATATGTACGAGTCTACTCCTAGTGCTACTCTTCAGTTCAAGTACTTCAACCTTTGAAGCACGTCTCCAAGAAGTAAGTTAATAAACGATTGGTTGACCCGAAGTACCTGTCCTGTATCATCTGCCCTGTATCAGCTAATACAAATAAACACTTTTTACCATAGCCTTCTAAAATTAGACATTTAAATTACGAGCATATGCTTATAATTTTAACAGCGGAATATCACATAAGCAGTCCTAAATATGACTTTCAAAAAGATAATAACAATGTTTATAAAATGTTAATTGAAAATATTAAAGTATCGGGGAATTAACTCAGTGGTAGAGTGTGTGCTTCGCATGTACAAAGTCGGGAGTTCAATCCTCTCATTCTCCATTATATTTATATGTATATAATTTATTTATTTATTTTGGGTATTTAGAGTTCGTAGGTCGGGAGTTCGATACTCTGCACTGCTTTTTTGCTCCCAACTGGGTCAGTTGAAGCGTTACTCAGCTGAGTATTTTTTGATATTTATTATTAATTATTTAGACCCCAAGTTCAAATGTCGCCCAGTATTGGAAAAATCATCATCACTCACTCGACCAGAGTGCAGAACGCCCACCAAAACTAAACATTCCGAGCGGCCCTGAAAACTGGCGAAGATTGGGTGAAAATCGGTCCGTACCCGCCAGCAAAGGACGACGAAACTACCTGACTCACGATAATAGTCAATGATCAAGCGTTCCGATTGGTTAATCAGAGTGTATACTACTGCTCTCTTAAAAAAAATAAGATTACACCTAGGTGTCAGAAATCCGGCAATCGACTACAAGGGTATCGGTGTAGTATCGCAAGTCGCCTGAGAATCGACATCAACGTCTTTCTGTAGTCAGCCAATACACACTCTCTGTCCCACGGCGTATCTTTGGTTAACTACAGAAGGATGTTGGTGTCGATTCTCGTCGTTCTGTAGATAGCCAAAGAATCGCGGTGGGGCACAGAGTGTGTATTGGCTGACTGCAATAGTGACCCAATCACCATGTACCCAGCAAGAGCAAGTTGATATGTACAAGTTAGTACAAAATCTACCAGCATTATCAAATTAATCATTCACGCCCATGATGCACTTGTGAATTGTATTTGCTTCGAGTTTATTCAAACCTCAAATGCTATTCATGGTATGTTTACGATAACTGTTTCGCAAATTTTTGAAAATTAGACCTAGCTGCCAACATTGTGTCATCATCCTTAGCATGGCAGAACCTGATGACGTCGTTGGCCAAGTAGCGGTTGTGGGGTTCGTAGAAACATGACATCGGTATCCCGGTAATGTTCGCTTCAGTCGTTAGCCAGCGTGCAACTCTGAAGTCCCTCCTTTCTAATAGCGCTTGTTCTGCTGTATCATCTGAGTGAAAACAAGAAAACACCCTGGTGTCAAGTTCATTTCAATACGATAAACAATCTTGTGATATCATCAGCTCGAACCTCACAATGTGGTCACGAACCCAACAAACGGGACACAAACCTTCTGAAAGTCGGGGTACAGCACCAACCAAGGGCCCGCTAGTGTCTCCCACGGTGAAGTATCCTCCCTGAGGCACTACAGGAGGGATGCCCGCCTGTGTCATCGCCGCCACCAGAACGTCTCTTTTCGCTTGCATCATCGTTCGGAAGTCTTGATAGTAATTGTTGGACCTGCATGCAGCGATTGCCTTGGCCGTTCCGATCTCGATGGGCGTAACACTCGAGAACGACAGGGCTGCGCGGATTTTCAGGAGCTCTCGAGACAATTCTGATCAATATTTGTGGAGGATAAAAATTAGCCAATATGTTCCAATATACATTTAATGTTTCAAAAGCATTAGATACTTTTACTTGAAGATAGGAACCGGAGCATTGAAATGGCAGGTGCTCTGTCAGATACAATGAATATTTGTGAGTCAAGCTTCGATAAACCTATTAGTATCAGCAAGTCAATTAAAGAACCCCCCCCCCCCCCCCCCTTTTTTTTTTGAGCACGACCGTGGCGCATGGCATCCCCAATTAGTTCAAATTAATTGTCCATCTAAAACTCGCTTGCATTCACCCATAATTTCATTAGAATGCAAAATCCTGTCACGCAATACGCGAGCGCACACATAATCGCTATCCAACACAACTCACCTTCGGGAGCTATAGAGTACCCCAATCGAAAGCCAGTGACGCTGAACGTTTTGCCCACACTGTACAAGGATATTGTGCGTTTCCACATGTCATTGATTGTGGCAAACGCTATGTGTTCCGTGTCATCGTACACTGAATGTTCGTAGACTTCATCTGAAAGCACAATTAAATCGGGATGCCTCGCCACTACATCGCTCACCTCCACGAGCTCTGATTTGCTGAATACCTTGCCTGTAATTGGGTTGTAGGAATAGGACGAGAAGAACTTAGTAAGATCCATTATGCTGTTTCACTTTAGCAGTACGTAGCGGCTAGATGTCGAACTCAGCGGCAGGTTTGAAGCGGTGAGATTCACGGCCCTACATGGTAGGGGTTTATCCGGTCGATTGGTAAAGTTACCACGAAGGACAATATAGAGCGGGTGATTTCTCATCACACACGCCACTTTTGTATTGGGCCCAAGCGATGTTTCAACCCACGCTCGAAAGTGATAGTAAGCTTGTGTGAAAGTAACTTAACATTGGGTACACTCTTAACCATGACTTCACTACAACGAACACGGATATTCATGAACCACCAGGCTTGATGAGGTGTGTATAAATTACCCCAGACAGTTAACATCACACACCTCATTGTATCGGTGACTCTATCACGCATACAAATGCAATCGCCATATAAACATACACTCACATTTTCGAATCCATTTTCGAATCACAAATATAGTAGAGATATGCCGATTGATTGAGTCTATTCAGGATGCTTGCACTTGCAAGTGATGTCGCACACACACTAACTCACACACGTGCAATACGAAATAACAGTCATACATGCCTGTCGGGTTATGGGGTGTGTTGAGTATCAACATCTTCGTGTTGGGGGTTATAGCTCGGTCTAGTTCGGCTGGGTCCAGGGTATAGTCACTGGAGTTGGTGACTGTCGCACCCTCAGGTGTCCTCAAGGGAACACCGATAACTTTGCCACCGGCTAGTTTTACCGCATTGACGTACGCGTCAAAATAGGGCTCGATAACCTGTGCATGAAAATATGGTGCAATTGTATAGCCTTAGTTTACTTGATACACAGAATTGACGTTAATACGATATTTCCCAAGTTTATATATATATATATATATATATATACATGCATCGATGTACGTATGATCTCACATATATTGTACTTATACGTATGTACTTACATACGTACATACATACATACATACACACACACACACTCATATATATATATATATATAATACAAACATACACACCATTATATACACATATATATATGTAAACCTAGACATTGTGCTATCTAGAGATGTGTGCAGCTCGACATGCCATAACCTAACAAGGTAACATATGGAAGCGCGAATTCAATACAATCATCAATATAATAGTGTAATTACAGCGTACTCCGATCCGCGAAGCTAACCTACAGCAAGCTAAAAGGTAGAAAGTTACACCAGAATAATAACGGTTGAGGTGACAACTTCCAATCAACCTAACCTAGTTATAACACGCACGTACCACCACCTCATCCCCGGGATTCACAAAGGCCATGGCAGCCGCTGCGATGCCCTCTTGTGCACCGCTGTACGTACAGACATTAGTCATACCATCGATCTTTCGAGCGAGCTGTTCAGAGTACTGAGTACCGATGACACCCACTAGCTCAGGGTGGCCCCCGGGCCGTCCATACTGGTTGTTATTGGCGTGTATAGCCTCACACACAGCGTCTTTCTGCGGTAGGTATGAAGAGACTGTATTCATATAGCTGAGACGTTCAGTGGTGCTCAGGCGTGTACTAGCAAACACATAACAAACTGAGAAACTGGCTATAGGTATCATATATAGGTATCATATATAGGTATCATATATAGATATCATATATAGGTATCATGATATACGTATCATGATCACATAAGAACTGGCAAGAATATATACATATCATGAACACATAAGAAAATGGCAAGACTGTATACATATCATGAACACATAAGAAACTGGCAAGAATACATACATATCATGAACACATAAGAAACTGGCAAGAATATATACGTATCATGAATACATAAGAAACTGGCAAGACTATATACGTATCATGAACACGTAAGAAACTGGCAAGAATATATACATGTCATGAACACATAAGAAACTGGCAAGATATATATACGTATCATGAACACATAAGAAACTGGCAAGAATATATACATATCATGAACACATAAGAAACTGGCAAGATATATATACGGATCATGAACACATAAGAAACTGGCAAGACTATATACGGATCATGAACACATAAGAAACTGGCAAGAATATATACATATCATGAACACATAAGAAACTGGCAAGACTATATACATATCATGAACACATACGAAACTGACAAGAATATATACGTATCGTGGTGCTGTCTTTTATTTGCATTTGGTATCCACACTGCATAGGTGATCTACAGACTCGGAATACAGCACACCAACTGTCCAATACAGTAAGCACGTATGCATAAGGCGTGCAACGCAGCCCATACCAGAAAGTCAGGTGCCGGGAACGTCGGGAAGCCCTGTCCGAGATTGACACTGCCGTGCTGTAGGTTGGGTGCGCATGCGAGTATTGTACACAATGAGAAATGACTACTGGTGCCTGTGAAGTAATAAGTACAACCAAGGTAGTCGCAACTGATAAAAGAGTAGGAATAGATCGCGTCCACATTTGAACGGACTGATTTTTGTGGAAGTATATAGCCTCGCTACGTGAAGATGAGCACCGTGGTGGTGCTGAGTGAATCAGGCGAGTATCGTTCAAGCGCTCCAAGGCAAAAGGTTGTGGCGTGAAGGTTTGTACATGAAGATCAATGTACTTGTAGTAATATAACCAGATAGATTTATGCAGCTAAAATAAGACTGATCGGTCTTGCTATTAGAATATAGCAGTTGTCGGCGATTGAGAATCAGATCTCGAGGCACAATGCTGATACCAATACTAACGCATAAGAGAGTATCATCTGCCCATGCACAAAGTATCTGAAGAGTATATTTCAATGTCTATTACAATATAAGCTTGCAGAGATACGTTTTATAATTATCGGATGCCAACCTATTGTTGATGTGTTTACTGTAGTTTCATCAATGTATGGTTCCGGTCTGGCGACGGATCACAAGACAACTTTTGGTAACTGTTGATGTACACGGCACTTGTAAGCACTGCTAGTGAAATCGCACTCACTTTCAACGCTAACGCAGAGAAGGCCGCAAACACATTGGGACTGAGTGCCTGTGCACGTAGTGCCGGTCGTACTAAACTTGACATTGTCATCGGCAGCTCTCTAGGTGAACACGGAGACGCTTGTTTTGAGAATATGCAGTACATACATACAAATATTTAGTGAACTAAAAATATGAAATTGTTTCCGTGATGTGAAATATTGGCTCTGTACGGGTGCGTGTCAGGTGTCAGCACAAGATAAATCCATGTCAAATGTCAAGTGTCAAATGTCAAGTGTCAAATGTCAAATGTCAAATGTCAAATGTCAAATGTCAAGTGTCATATGTCAACACGGTGCGTTTGGGCAGCTGTGAAGCATACTACAGTACTATTTAGCTCTCTACAGAGAGAGCGACGATGGTCTATATTTATTAAAAAAACTGTTTATTGCACGACTCCTCGGTGCTTAATAGTGCTCAGTATTGCTTTGACCGATACACCATAAGTCACTTGAAATATCTATTCATTTCACTATCAAACAGATTGGTCAATGGTCTATGTAGCCAACTCCCCTCGAGTGTACTATATACATTAATCGATCCCGTTTTACAACTTTAAAATAAATAATATAGCCCTGTTTCTTTCACAGATTTACAGTGTGACCTACCCGGCTGATCATGGTCTCTTGGTAGCGCACTATCAAGACATTCCACCTGGGATGCTTATCAACACACTTGGGGCTTGCCAGCGATTATACAAATACATTATACTTTTGCTTTTCAACTATTAAAAATTTCAAAATATGTAATGACTTGTTGCAAGCGATTATACAAATAAAATTACATATTAAACTTTTGCTTTCTTTTTAAGGGTTTATTGACTTGTTGCAAGCAATGTACATATACCAAATAATTAGATTACGTACTATACTTCTGTTTTCTATGCTCCAGTAATCCACTTAATGTCCTCCAAATACCACAAATAATAAAAGGAGTTTGGGGTGTCCCGATATGAGTTTTCCCTCGAGTGGCTAAATCCCTAGGGCACCCCATAAAGTTGAGGCAAGGGCAAACTCATGGCCCTCGTAAGGGGTAAATATATTCCCGGGGTGGAAGCTTGGTTGGTAAACTTTGCTTGTCTGGGGTGTTGGGCTTAGCCTATAGGGACAAGGGAATCGATTATATAGCCCCCCTGGGGTGATCCTTGGTCGAAAGGATTGATCCTGTCCGAGGTATCGAGTATCAATCCCGGCCGCCCAAAACTTCTGCGTATGCACATACGGACTGGAACGAAACCACTATATGAACTATATGGGCTCTGCTGCTTGCGGCATGTATCTAAATTTATGTATATTCCTGTCAGTATCTAAATTAATTTACTATCTTCCCCGCTAAGATAGTTTCTGAGCGAGCGCTGCACATACGGCAGGTTAAGGCTGAGCTCCTCCTGGATTGATATCACCCCAGGACAAGACAGGTAGGGCTGCAGCAGAGAGTTGAGGTACAACTGTTTGTCCTCCTGCTCCCGGAATAGATCCCACTTCCAAAACGGGATCTGTATGAAATTCCACCCCGTTTCCTGGAGACACATCAACTTCACATTGGTGGTGCCGTCCGTTCTGTAGCTGCGTGTCTGTGGGTCAACTAAGTAGTGGTGCGGCCCTTCCGCCTCAATGCATACTTTGGCATCGGGAAAGGCAAAGTCGACCGAGAAACCCACCTCCGTTTGATATTGCCTGGGATGGGGTACGTAATAGATCACGAGATGATATCAGGGGAGAGTAGGGGGGGGGGGCGCTACGGACCAGGATATATAGGCGAATGTTGCTGTGCGTTGCTGTGCGTTGCTGTGCGTTGCTGTATGTATGTATGTATGTATGTATGTATGTATGTATGTATGTATGTATGTATGTATGTATGTATGTATGTATGTATGTATGTATGTATGTATGTATAGATCCGTGATTTGCTATGTAAATATACAGAGCAAGCGTGTAGAGGCTTGCTTGTTGCTGGGCTTTGTATTAGCGCAACCTGCTAAGCTTTTTAAGCGAACAGGCGAGCTCATGCGTTCAAGTCTGGTCCAGATAGTGGCAGAATAAAAAGAATCCTCCTAAGGTTTGCTCTTGAATGAATATACATGCAGGGCCTAGATGAATTGCTTGAGTGAAGTAACGCTGCAAGGTTGAAAACCGAGCTGGTTTCGTTGTTCATTTACAAATGCAAATCAAATTTAATAACTACAAACGAACCGGACGAGAAGGAGCGTACTTAAAATTTAACAACATGGCCACACACTTCTGAGTTAGATAAACGAACAGAGGCAACAGCACACAAACAGACAACTGACACATCGCTACAACAGTTCACATCACACAGTAGTGGACACATGCACTCCCCTCAGAGACAAACCACTATTGAGTACCACCCACAACACGTTAACGAATACTCTTGCTATGTCCCTGACAAGACAGACAAAACCCTAAACCCCAAAACCCCTACATTCGCCACCGACAGAAACCAACAGCAGAACCACCCCATGCGCGTAGCCCTCTCCCCGCAAACGGAGGACGACACTTGCGCACGCACCTTATGGCCGTATCCAACCCCATGCTGACCATCACATCGTTGATGTTATTCTCGAAGCCAGAAACGTGCTTCTTCTGCGGAAAAGGTTGCACCAGGCTTGCCCCATACCCGCCCTTGTTTCGGCTGGAGCGGGGTTTGGTGGGGTCGCTATGTATGGCCCTGTGCGGCGAGAAGCACGCCAACATCACAGACGCCTGGTGCCTCATAAACCTACGGGATAGCACAGAAGTAATGTATGTGTGAGTGGATAGCCTTGAACGGTTTGTATATGGCGCAGCTAGCAGTATAGTCGATACAAACACGCCACGAGGAAGCTGTTGGGCAGGTGGGCTGTCTTGAATGCGAACTCTCAAAGCAACCACCATTGGCTCGGAGACAACATCCAGAGTACGTTCACCCACAGGGTACAGGCAACTTACGAGGGCTTTATGGGCGCATGCGATGACAGGAAAACAAGACACAATAAAGTGCCAGAAACAGGAACATATGCAAATACAAATGGTTGTGGCGGGTACACAAACATATACAGATACACCCATCCAGACCACACATCAACAACAGTCGCGCACAGCACCTTGTCTGGGCGTTGTGGGGACTGCGGAAATCGCCGACGTTCTTGGCCAGGCGTTCGACCATCTCCGGATGCATGCGCACGTGCAGCAGTGTCCACAGCACCGGCACCAGCTGATGCAACTCGTGCGACGACAGATGAGGTTGTCGTATGCTTGTCAGGAACTGCAGCACCTTCGGTGTCATGAGACTGTGTATGATCTCGCGTAGCTGGGGTGGCCTGAGCATGCCTGCCGCCCCGGCCGCTTGGCCTATGAGCCACAGAGCTTCGTCTGCTGAGAGAAGGTTTGGTACTTTTGAGTAGGGGGGTGGTGTGGTGGGTGGTAAGCCTGGCCTAAGTAGCTACATAGGTTCAGTATGGAATTCTAACCCTGATGTGATGTGTGTAATGCGTACGACAGGCCTTTCAGGCAAGTACTGTTGTTAATGGAAGTAAACAGTCGCAGAGCATGACAAATGCCCTAACTACAGCTTCACGACACGTATATATAAAAAAGCCGTAGTAGCTACGTGCGCTAGCCACGGCAAGTACTGTGGTAAAGCGACTGCGACAAATGACCCAACTAAAGCTTCACGATACGATACAAATGCATGAAGACGCCGTAGTAGCTAAGTGGATTTGCCACGGCAAGTGCTGTGATAAAGGACATATGAGCGAACTAAAGCTTCAAGATACGATACAAATGTATGAAGACGCCGTAGTAGCTAAGTGGATTTGCCACGGAAAGTGCTGTGATAATGGACAATGACCTAACTAAAGCTTCACGATACGATAAAAATGTATGTAGACACCGTAGTAGCTGAGTGGGTTTGCCACGGCAAGTACTGTGGTAAAGGACATATGTCCTAACTAAAGCTTCACGATACGATACAAATGTATGAAGACTCCGTAGTAGCAAAGTGGGGTTGCCACGGCAAGTGCTGTGGTATAGCAGCTGGGACATATGTCCTAACTAAAGCTTCACGATACGATACAAATGTATGTAGACACCGTAGTAGCTAAGTGGGGTTGCCACGGCAAGTACTGTGGTAAAGGACATATGACCTAACTAAACAAAAGCCGTAGCGCTCATGTAAATAACCGTTCACAAGGAACGGTTACAGCTGTAGCGCAAGGGAGGTCTGCTATGGTAAGTGCATCTAGTCACGATAAGTGTATCTAGTTACACAAAGTGCATCTAGTCACGATAAGTGTATCTAGTTACACAAAGTGCATCTAGTCACACTAAGTGCATCTAGTTGCACAAAGTGCATCTAGTCACACTAAGTGTATCTAGTTACACAGTGCATCTAGGTACGCTAAGTGTACCTAGTGACACAAAGTGCATCTAGTTACACAAAGTGCATCTAGGCACGCTAAGTATATCTAGTTACACAAAGTGCATATAGTCACGCTAAGTGTATCTAGTTACACAAAGTACATCTAGGTACGCTAGGTGGTCTTGATGCCGATGGCCCAAGGCCCGTAAACGCTGTCTATACTACGCCGTGGTGACGTGGGTAGTCAAGTACGCCGGTGCTTCTGTGTCTCGTGAAAGTGCTATCCTCCGGTTGCTATGCGTACGTTGCTATGGCGACCAACTTCCACACAAAGTCTGGACAAGCAACTAAACACAAATCGAATACGACCTAAAAAGCTACGAACAACAAACACGCACCCAGTTACAGTCGCAGACATGCCAAGTGTGAGACGTGTGTGAGGGAGGTGCAAGCCCGTCAGAGCATGTACATATAACCTTAAAAACCCTAAAACCAGCCGCTGTGCTGCTAGCGGCTTGTTCCTCTTGACATGGGTCGTAGTACCAGCCCGCACGAACCAAGCACCCCGTGTCGAGGTTTAGGGTTTAGAGTTCCGGGTTTGCCCACATGCCTAACCCAACAGATGACCAAACATACCGGAATCGCTGATCCGCATCCGCCCCACATTTCGGCACAGAATCCGCAGGAGGTTATCACACTGTATACTCGCAGACGCCATCGCATTGACGGCAACCATCATCTCACGCATGGACGTGTGCTTGTACTTGCACAGCGTCTCAAACCGCGCCCGCGTGCTGCTCCAAAAGCGGTACGTCCCGCAATTGAGGTAGGCAAACGACTGCATGATGGTGGCCAGTTCATTGGTGCTGAACAGGTCGACACCCTCACACACACGCCTGTCGCAGGCGTCGTGCAGGTCGACGTTGAAGATCATATCCAGACGCTCAAATAGCTCACACAGCATGGTTACCTCAGACGGCGCCAGTAGCGATACGGACGCTGCTGTGGGAGATGGGTCATGCCAATGTATGAATGTGTGCAAGTGTATGAACTGGCTCCAAGGAGTGGTGGGACAAGAAGGATGGGATGCGGCTCAAGACACGGGCACATGAACAATACGCACACTTGTAACTACACTGAAGATGAGCCATGCCAATGTATGAATGTGTGGATTAATCAACCATACGCACACATGTAACTACACAGTGGATGAGTCATGCCAATGTATGAATGTGTGGATAAAAAAACCATATGCACACATGTAACTACACAGTGGACGAGTCATGCCGATGTATGAATGTGTGGATGAATCAACCATACGCACACATGTTACTACACAGTGGATGAGTCATCAGTTGTCATAATAAAAGACAACCCGAAGGGATATCGGGCGGAGTGTATTGGTATGATACCAGATAATGTTATGCTGATAGACCCATTAACCACACTTTGCTAATATACTTAGATAGTTTGATATACATAGAGAAAGGGAGTGCACTACTATGACCAACACACGGACCGAATGCACACCCCAAATACATGAGAACGGGACAGTCCTTGCCACCAAACTCATGACTCACAATCTCATACGCCTCATACCTCCCTAGCCACCACACCCATACCTCACTATCACCTACGAGTTTGTCCATGGTGCCACGCACACGCACACCATATCTGTGGCATACCTGGACGGGAGTCCCAATCTACTGAGCCGTTCAGCACCTTCTGTTCAACCGCATCCGTCGGCAGCTCAGCAGTGGCCAGTGCTTCCACGTGGGATTTCAACATGGTCGTCAGTCCGCTCATGAGCTGTGGGTGGGGATGGGGGCAGAACGGTGTGTGTGAGAGGTAGTTACAATATAGGACCAAACGAGATCATACGTATGATAAAGTAGAACGTAGATGAGGATACAGAACACAAATAGCAAACAGAGCAATTAAAACCACAGCCAATATAAAGATAGATAACAGAATATTTAAACAAGCGACAGCCAATATAAGTACAGATAACAAAATAATTTAAACCACAGCCAATATAAACATAAAAATAATATAATAATTTAAACCACAGCCAATATAAATATAGATAACAAGACAATTTAAACCACAGCCAATATAACATTAGGAATAGAAGACAGAATAATATAAACCACTACCTATATAAATATTGATAACCGGATAATTCACAACCACAGCCAATATATACATGAATAACAAAACAATTTGCATCATAGTCAATATAACATTAGCAACAGAAAACAGAATAGTTTAAACCACTGCCTATACAAACATTGTTAACCAGAAAATTCAAAGCCACAGCTAATACAACAAGACAGAAGAGGGAGAGTGTTGAATTGCTTCGGACCAAACGCACATTAGAGAAGCGCTGCACAGTGAGTAATAACACAACTGAGCCAGGCACACATAACATAACCACAAGGATACGCAAGCAGATCTACGTACAGAGCTCCACCGTTGGTTGGCAGCAGTAGTGTGAGTGTAGTGTGGTGTACTCACGTGTATATATGAACGCCTTGTGTAGCGACAGCGTGTCCGTGCTCAAGCATCGGAACTACTAAATACAATGGATGTCTTACCTTTGCAATGGATCGGTCCCTCTGTTTCGTGAGGGTCTTGAGACTCCTTGTGATCTCGAGCGTTTCCTCAAGAGATAGGCTGATGAAAAGAGGTCTCACGGGTGAGAGATCGTTTGAAAAACGCTAGGGAATTGAAAAAAACACCACTTAGCCGCAAACAAAGTACTGAATGCATATAAACCTTTCTTAGGTTTATCACTGCACGACGCTTGAGACGGCGCCTACTTGCACAGGATGCCTACAATACAACCTCAACCAAACACCCATCTCTGAATATGTTCTCGTTCATGATCAAACCAAACACCCACCTCTGAATACGTTCCTGTACATGATCAAACCAACCACCCACCTCTGAATATGTTCCTGTACATGATCACGCAGTGTGCCGTAGGCCAGTTGCGCCACCTTAGACCTCCCACTCAGCCCCATGCACGCGCTTATCAGTCGTTGGGTTGTGAGTACGGTACCACTGGGCCCTCCGCGGGTGTTTTCGGCCGCGCGTTGGTTGATTTCCCTGTCCTAATGTGTCACGTAGTACGGCTTCAATAGTTTATTCCGGTGGCTATTCTAGGTCGTTATCATGTTATATCATTGTATGCTGCACCACCAGGTCTTCTACCTACTATACCATGTCTGTCTGGCTGGGAGTAGATTCCCAATCCTACTAACACTCTCTGATTGGGCCATGGGTGGCTGTGTTTTGTATAGCAATATATCTCAGCACCCACTACTGCTGTGTATGTCATCAAGCTCTGGCTGTGCTCAATTGAATGCTAATGTGCCCCGTTTCACTACTAGCAAGCTATGATAGTATAGTCGAGTAGTGTTCTGGTACAGCGAGATGCGTAGAGTCACCTAATGCGACATTGGATAGCTAAGCAATGCCGAATTGTATCAGATTATATGAGCAATGAAAACAGGGCTCAGTGACGGTGTGCTTGTTGGCGAATAGATCGGTGGAGACAAAAATATATTGACAAACATAGATACAAAGAACATATAACAAATTCGTGTCATTTATACAGAAATAAAAGTGCAAAATTCAATATGTAGGTATACTTTCACTTTTAGAATTATGCAAGCCATCGACTCTACAAAAAGAAATCTCAATATCATATTTGTGCAACAAAAGATGAATATATATATATATATATATATATATATATATATATAGTATAGTATATAAGTAAATAAACACACAACTACAACACACTATAGTAGTACGTA